CCCCCCTGGGCGGAGTGTGACTCTGTCATATTGTGGGACAGCCAATGAGAGTCACTGTAGTGCATGTACTGTACAGCAGCCAATCACTGGATTTCTCTCAACCAGTGGTGCATGCTGGGATAGGGTACATACTATGCCGTACCCCATACTATACCATACTTCATACTATTCCGTACCCCATACTATACCGTACCCCATACTATGCCATACCCCATACTATGCCATACCCCATACTATACCATACTTCATACTATTCCGTACCCCATACTATACCGTACCCCATACTATGCCATACCCCATACTATGCCATACCCCATACTATCCCGTACCCCATACTATGCCATACCCCATACTATGCCATACCCCATACTATACCGTACCCCATACTATACCATACCCCATACTATGCCATACCCCATACTATGCCATACCCCATACTATACCGTACCCCATACTATACCATACCCCATACTATGCCATACTATACCGTACCCCATACTATGCCATACTATACTGTACCCCATACTATACCATACCCCATACTATGCCATACCCCATACTATACCATACCCCATACTATGCCATACCCCATACTATACCATACCCCATACTATGCCATACCCCATACTATGCCATACCCCATACTATGCCATACCCCATACTATGCCATACCCCATACTATGACATACCCTACTCCATACTATCCCATACCCCATACTATGCCATATCCCATACTATGCCATACCCCATACTATACCATACCCCATACTATACCATACCCCATACTATACCATACCCCATACTATGCCGTACCCCATACTATGCCATACCCCATACTATGCCATACCCCATACTATGCCATACCCCATACTATGCCATGCCCCATACTATGCCATACCCCATACTATGCCATACCCCATACTATACCGTACCCCATACTATACCATACCCCATACTATACCATACCCCATACTATGCCATACCCCATACTATGCCATACCCCATATTATGCCATACCCCATACTATGCCACACCATAACATAAACTCTGTATTGACTTCATATTAATATTGAAATGCAGTAATCAAAAGCAAATTAAGACAAATAGACACATGTCCATTTCCAGGATAATACATGCTGCAGATCAGCAGAACAGTGAGTACTGTGGTTGGTTAGATGAGAGTTCTGGTTAGTTGAATACCGGATAACAGAGAGTTTACTGTATAATGTTGCATAGACTTCAGTTTTCAGATTTCCTCCTTTATGTATCACAATCCTATGCTGTAATCTTGACAATAGGTCAATGCTTTTCTTCATTGACAACATTGCATTCTTTTTCTGTTTGGTGGAGATAAAACTGTGCATCCTTCTGTAGTTCATAGCAGCCAGTCCCCTGTGACAAAAATGGCTCGCTGAGCTGGCCCAAATGGACCAAAGGTGGCCTGCTCTACATACAGCATGGCACTGGTTTAACAGGCTGGGTGCAGCCATTGTGCAGGGATGGGCCAGGCGGGTCTGAGGACGCAGCATAAGGGACGGGAGGGATACCAGTGTGGCATAAATATTTTACGAGTATTTGTGGTCAGATATAACTTTATTGGCAAGGACAGGCTGGCACAATTGGCAGGGGTGGCATATCCTGTAAGGCACATTAATATTATTAGGATGCTGCTGAAATTGGCTCTACAGGTTCGGAGGCACTCATGCTGGTTGCTGTGGGCACGAGTGTGGCATGGACATGTAAGATGACCAGCGAGCTAAAAACCAGTGTCAGGGGGCAACACTGGTGGCATAGCAAGAGACGCGGGCGGCGATAATGGACTAAAAATTGATAGCTGTGCAAAATAGGCTTGTGGCAAGTAACACAAAGGCTGTCATAAATAAGAGATGAACACCGCCATGGTATAGGGATGGCACTCATTAATAGAAAAGCTTGCACATCATAGCCATGGCTATCGCAGTCGCATCTTACAGGGAAGGTCCCTTTCTGTGACGCTGCATCTTTAAAGAGTGCCGCCTTGCTTGTAAAGAGTTCTGCAGCAGCTGAGGTCTTGGATGCTTTTTCCTTTTAAAGACGTATACCCAGCAAAGGAAAAAAAAAGATGAATCCGTGCGGAAAATCCTTCTCCTCTTTCCTCCTATTGCCAGAAGAATCTCAGGCACACCACAGGCTGCATGCTTCTCATACACAGGACATGAAACGGTGCGGATACAATGGATCACACAGAGCCTAGAACACACCCTGAGCACAGGCTGCAGGCTACCTGTGCCCATCTCTAATGGAGCAGGGACCCCCTCCCCAACCCACATGGGGCTGTGATGTGACACTCACCCCAGCTGTTCCTCTCCTTTCGGTTCCTGGCCATGGCAGGGTGAGGCTCTGGATGGCTGGAGGGAGTCAGGGCTCTGGTGATGGAGCCTGGGCTGGTTCTGCAGGATGAGAGATGCTCGGAGAAGGAGAAGGAGGAGGAGGACCAGTCACATGATCAGGACAGCTCAGTGCGATGATGCTATACATATACACAGGGGCAATGCCAGTGATAGAGCATCACATACACGCAGCCTGCTCACACTCACATTTCATTATTTCTTTCAGATTTACCATCAGGGCCGAAATTCTTCCCCAAAAACAAGGCGGATTTTACATTTTTGCTATGATTTGACAGGTAACAATAATCCAGCAATACCCAGTACCCAATCTATTCAACTGTCCGGGCAGATTTGCCCTTGGAAATGATCCTTGCTGTTACCCCTCATTCACGCCGAGCGTTTTGTAGTTCTTTTTCTGCCCGAAAAAACCCCCCTACATATCGGGCAGGGAACTGTAAGTCCCAGCATGCTCTTTGGAAACTACAAGTCCCAGAATGCCCTCTTTGTCTGTGTAAACCCCCCACATATCAGGCAGGGAACTACAAGTCCCAGCATGCCCTCATTGTCCCTATATACCTCCACACATCACCCTGGAAAATACAAGTCCCAGCATGCTTCACTGTCCCTGTACACCCTACATACCACGCAGGGAACTACAAGTCTCAACATGCCCTCACTGTCCCTATACACCCCCCCCCATATTTCACCCAGGGAACTACAAGTTCCAGCATGCCCTCACTGTCCCTGTACACCCCCCTGATGCCCCTGGTGGGGGGGGGGGGGGTGCAGGTCCACCTAACTGGCTGCCTGGGCCCCTAGTGACAATCTACCTCACTGGTGCATTTCCAGCACCGTGAGGTCACGTGGCCTGCCCCCTTTCTATCCCTTCCTACCCGCTGTCAAGTGTGATGAGGCACAGGGGAATGCTGGGGACCCTCATGTTACTGACGAGAACTACTAATGACTCAGCATGCAACGGACGTGTAGTCTTCCTCAGTAATATGAAGCTGGTCAGTGCTGTCTAAGTTCCCTCCCCACCTTCATGAATCTTACTCTCAACTCGGCACGCGTGACGTGAGTGCGCCAGCAACGTAAGTGTCCCAATAAGTGAATACATCCAAATAAAGGTATTACATCATTTCCAATTGTGTTTTATAGAATTCAAAATTGTTTGGGGCGCATTCACACCACCAGTTGTGCTACACCTCACGGCTGCTGGTGTGACTGTGCCCGGCGCAGTGCTTGTGCGTTTGAACACATCGCACTGTTACTTTTTTGTACAAACTTTATTGAGCTGTTTATTGATCTGCACTCCAATAGCTTCTTTAGAGTAGAAAGGTGAGAATAGGGTCTAATAGATCCCTAATATCACCTTAAGGCCTCATTCACACTGTAATTGGCCGGCACGTACAGCTCCGTGCTGCGTGCACGGCCGTACCGAGCAGCTCCCGGGAAGGACAGGTGCTGCGTGTGATTAGTATGCAGCACCCGTCCTTTTCTATGGGGCTACGCGGCCATACGCCCCCCTATGCTGACCCGCCCTGCACATCCCTACGGGTGCGGGTGAGCGTTCTCGTATGCTGACAGAATGGATCCTGTCTGCGCCCGAGCCAGGAAACACGCTCCCGTACGGACCTGCACTTGAGCTGAGCGTAGGGGGGCATACGGCCGCATAGTCCCATAGAGAAGGACTAATCACACGCAGCACCTGTCCTTTCCGGGAGTTGCTCAATACGGCCGTGCACGCAGCATGAAGCTGTACATGCCGGCTGACTCCATTGTGAATGAGGCCTAAGGCTCTGTTCACACATTAGCAGTTGTACGCGGACACGTGCTAAACAAACAACAACAAAAAACGCCCAAAGTATGTTGTTCACACTTGCGCAACGTCCGCACGGTACCAAAATGAGCGTCGCTCAAAAAACTCCAAGCACCATATTCTAGGCACATTCCATGTGTTTTGGCTTTAGTAATATTTTCAAATTTGCATCGTTTTTGTTACGCACAGTTTTCTGTGGGAAAAACATAGACGCTATGTGTGAATGGAACCGAAAGAGCACCTGTCATCACTGATAGGCTATTACACAGGAGGCTTGTGAGCCCCTTTATCTAATAGCAAGTAAGTTAAGTTACAAAATAAGTTTGAAAAAAATAAAATAAATGTAAAAATCTATCTTTTTCAAGGTCCCCGTGAGAGTGCGTATAGTAATGTAAACACAGGTCGGGTGCTCATATCTACAAAAACGACGATCGTGTTAGGTAGGGCCATGTGCGCCAGACCAAGAGCAATAATTCTCAGGCCAATATTCATGGATATCTCTAAACTGATCTGACCTCGATGTGCTTTTAAAGTGCTGCCTATAGACAATTTGGGGTACCTTACTTTGTTTCACGGACGCACGCATCTGGGCATGCTGGGTATCTATTTACTCATTTTTTGGGGGCACTAAAATTTACTTAGGCCTCATTCACATTACTAATAGCCGGCCTGTACAGATCTGTGCGGCGTGCACATACGTATCGGGCCGTTCCCGGGAGGGACAGGTGCTGCGTGTGATTGTACGCAGCAGCATGTTCTTCTCTATGGGAGGACGCGGCCCTACGCTCACCCAAACTGCACATCCATGCGGGTGTCTGTTCTCGTACGCAGACAGGATCCATCCTGTCTACATCCGAGCAGGGACACACGCACCGATGTGAGGTCCGGGTGAGTGTACGGCTGCGTCCTCCCATAGAGAAGAACAGGCTGCTGCGTACAATCACACGCAGCACCTGTCCCTCCCGGGAACGGCCCGATACGTACGTGCACGCCGCACGGATCTGCACGGGCAGGGTATTAGTAATGTGAATGAGGCCTTAAATGCATTTTTTACTAAAATTTTGGGTTTGATAAAGAGTTGCATTAATATTATACATCATAACAATTTGCAACTGCCGCCATTTTATTCTACCGGGTCTGTTCTTTTAAGAACATACAGAAATCTCGGGGGTTTTATGTAATTTTCAGGCCTAAAATGTGGATTATAATGTGTGCAAAAAATGTCATGGAAGCGAAAGGGATAAAGAGTACCTGCCACTAGCTTACAAAAATGCAGGAAAAAGCACAGAAAGATCAATACATTTTGATTCTTTTGGGGCTGCTGACATCACATGCAGGATAGGGGAGCTTGCAGTAGTCTCAGGTCTTTTGAATGTCTACAAGGGAGGCTTTTTCAATTAAATAATGCACATAAAATATGCTAAATTCACTTAAAAATCTTGTGGGAAGATTTATGTGGTAAAACATGGTCTAGCAACAGGGCCTCTTTATTATTTAAATGAGCAGTCTGCAAATTGACCACAAGGTGGTGCTGTGGTATCATGTACAGTGAAACATTTACTAAAAGTCTATTGACATTGTGTGTAATTGGACTGGATTGTTATTATGGATTGTATCAGGGAAGTGTTATTTTATTGTAACACAACACTCGGCAGACATTGATGCACAGACTACAACACAGCTCATGGTGTGAAGGAGCCCTTTAAACAGGGGGTGTGACCAGTCAGGATCCATGCTTGGCCACATCCCCTGCAGGTGCTCAGCACACCTGAGGTCAGTGGCGGAACTACCGCCGGTGCAGGCGGTGCGGGC